TGTCCTAACTATAGGGACTCTCTTTGAGGAAAACCGAGAGGAATTCAGGCTGCCTGATTTTTCTCAGCATGATGATAAACATGGTCATGTAAAAGATTGCCTGAGTTCTCCTTGGCAGAACTAAACCAGACCCATAGACTCAGTACCTGTCCCAGGGCTAGTCTTTGTTTCTTGTGCAGAGAAAGGGAGGTTAGAGCAGCTTTGTCTCCTTAGAGTTTGCAGAGCCCCCTGGTCGAGCCACACTGCATATTTTGATCAGAAAAAGAGCCAGTCCTGATTGTGATGGGCTTAGCTGAAATGGGAAGAAAATGATGTTTACAGGCACCAAAGGAAGAAGACGGAGGAGTGGGACACTTTTCCCACAGTGCAATAATTCGTCTGTGAAACACATGTAAAGACTGAGGCTAAAAAGAACTTGGCACTGATCAATTCATCACATTTTTTTATTGAGCACATATTAAGGCCAGCACTGTGTAGAGCCCTTGGGTATAAAAAGATGAATAGGATAGATAGCCAAATGTAGTAATATATGGGCAGTGCAGGGGTGCCTGGGTGGCTCAGTCGTTGAGCGTCTGATTTGATTTCAGCTCAGGTCATGATCTCAGCGTTGTGGATTGAGCCCCACGTCAGGCTCTGTGCTCAGTGTGGAGTCTGCTTGAGATTCTCTCCTTCCCCCTCTGCCCCTCCCCTCACTCGTGCTGGCTCTCTGTCTGTCTGTCTCTCTCTTAAATAAATAAATAAAATCTTAAAAAAAAAGAAATATATGGGCAACGCAGTGACGCACAACTGTGGAATGGGTGTGTAATAGGAGAAGGACCCGGCATGATGATTAAGAGCGGACTCCGGGGTTCAACTGCCTGGGTCTTTGTGACCCTATTTAGATAACATATTTCTTATCTTTTCTGTCTCTCAGTTTCCTCATCTGTAAAATAGAGAGAATAATTGCTGTAAGGACCAAGTGAGCTAATCCACGTAAAGCATTCGAAATAGTGCCAATTGTTCACTATGGCTATTGTAATTGCACTAGTTCCCAGATCATTAGGAAGATGTATGAGGTCACCTATAATTCCTCTTGGGCACAGGGGAAGAGGAATATTAGAGAAAATGAAGAAACTTCCTAGCTGAGTCTTAAAAGGTGAGCCAGGCAGGCAGACAAGACAGCAATGGCATGATGAGCAAATGAAACAGTGTGTGCAAAGGCTCTGAGGCACACAGGAACAAGGCATCCTAGAACTGTGGGTATCTTGCATTCACTTGGATTATAGGTTTCATGTGGTGACTTTTGGCAATGTGACTATAAAGTAAGCAGGGGCTAGATCCCAAAGGGCCTAATGTGCCTTGCTAAAGGATGTTTGTATTAATATTAGGTAGGATATCTTCTGCAAGTGCTTGAATACCCACCTCAAAAGGGCTTGGTAAAAAGGGAATGGAATGGCTACCATAAATGACAAGTCCAAGGGAAGACTGGCTACAGGCATGTCTAATGTTTGAAGTGACTCTCTATCTCGGTCCATTATGTTCTGTGACGGTAAGATAGCTCATAGAGGCTCACAGGCTCAAGTCCAGTGGGAAAGAATGTGATTCTCTCTTAGAGAAGTCCCAATAAAGTCTCAGTCTCTGACTGAGTCGCCTGAACCAATTATATTGGTGAGTGGAAAGCTATGCTCTGATTGTTCAGGCCAGGGATTTATATAGTATACGAGTCAATTCCATTTAGAAACTCAAAGACTTAGCATGTAAAGGAGGGTGGTCCTTCAGAAGGAAATTAGGTATGGATACCAGAAAAAAGATGCGGAATGAATACCAGATTAGCAAAGTGCCCAAAAGTTCCAGCCCCCTTTCGTACTACAGGGATTGGAGGGCCATTGCTAGCCTTTAAGCTGTGGATTGACACGATCATATCTGTATTTGTGGAGAATGGATTGGAGGGTTGCATCTGGAGGCAGAGGGTCAGTTAGAAAGTTTTTACTCGTCCGGGGAAGTAACAATGAGTATACAAACGAAACCTTGGCACTGGGGATGGAAAGATGCAATGACTCAGAACTGTACATGTAAGAGCTGGAACCATTAAGGATTTTATACTGAACAAAATCCAGCGGGGAAGGGAACAGCAACATCCACAATGTCCCTTAGGTTTGGCTTTGGTGACAGGGTGGGTGTGGATGTTGTTTGCTGGAAGTGGAGGCTACAGAAGGCGAGAGAGAAGAAGGTATGAGACAACACGTTAGCCGATTTCTGAAATATTTTTATGTCCATGATCTTTTTTCATAGGGTGGCAGAGAAGAAGTATATTCAGAGTTTATAGAACGTTCTTATCACCACAAACAACATCATTCACAATGATGAATGACCTGGGAATGCCCTTTTGCATGCACAGGTACAAGGAAACACACGTGTCCTGAAATTGTGCGACACAGGCACACACATGTTTTGTGTTGGTCTCACTTTTTAAAAAAAATTTGTTTTGCTCTTTTATTCTCACCTGATTCTGACTAATGCATTCTTTCTGTGTTTTATCTATCTTTGCAAGTGACTCTAAATTCTTTCTGGAACAAGATGTTATATAGTTAATAAATCTCTCTTAATATATATTCATTACAAGTCAGCCCTTTCAAAGAATGATTGGAGTGAGACTTAGAATTTTTTTAAACCAAAATCAGTCATCTATTTTTTTTACACAAATACCCATAAATGTGGATAAATGGTATCTGTCATTTCTTTTTTGAGGAATAAAAGACACCTATGTTTGCTTAAGGAGTTTATCCTTTTAATACCAAAATAGTCTTTCCTTTCTCACTTTAGCTCTCTGGTCCCCATCACCAGCCCACCAGATATTTCAAAATAAAATTCATTTTTGGGCCTAGAACCAGCTGAAGAAGCACGAGTTTAAAAAGGCTACTCAAAATAGGCTTTGTAATGAAAGAAACATTTAAAAGATAAGTAAACAATGTCCACAAAATGAATGCATGAATGGATCATGATCAGAAAAAAATTTAAAATACACAATAATCTTGTGGGTCATGACTGTCTACAAAACTCCTCCATTTCGAGTTTCTCCAGCAAATCCCATGGTCTTCAAAGGGCCCATATTTTCATGTTCCCCAGATGAGCTTCTGCTGTTGGCTGTTTTTTTTTTTTTACACTCTGTAGCCTGGCCTTCCAGGTCCAGCTATTATGTAGAAGCAGGTGACTATCTCAAACCACCTTTGCTTTCTCTTCTTTTCTACTTTCGTTTCTCTTGGCCTTCCAGACCTGTGTCCCGACTCCAGAGGAGAGCAACCAATGGGCAAAGCATGGCAGGCAGAAGAAGATGATGGGAGATAGGTCTGTAGATGGGAGAAGTGAGCATTGCCCTTACATGCTGCTACTTAATCACTGCCAATGTCACCTCTGATCATGGCAGTCCCCACCTCTGGGGCACACAGGTGCTCCATGGTTCCTCATAAATGAAGTCCACATTTGTCAGGCTGGCATTTGAGGCTCTTCTGGGTCTCTGTTCTTACTTTCATGCTTTGTCCCTGTTACCTCTGTCCCCAATTTGGCCACTCTACGTCCCACCTACCATGGAAGGCGCAGGGGGCAGAGGAAATTTCCCAAGCCCTCCTCTCTCACCCCTCAATTTTAGAGTAAACCTGTTCCTCTCAGCATTTCTTCCAGAGCATTTGTCTCTATGTCCAGTTTAACACTTAGCATATTTTAGCCTGCTCATTTCCAGAATTCTTGGTATTCTGTGTATGTGTATACATGTCATTTCCTTTCTTGTGTCCTTAGAAATTGGGTGGCAGGGGCTGTGCCGTGTTCACCTTGGTGTTCCTCCACCATCACAGAAACCTGTGGTGACTCACACAGAGGAGGCATAAAAGTATTTATCAAATGAATGGGCCAAGGGAGAACACATGGAAGGAGGATTAGAAGCCATCAAAAAGGAAGAGAGTAAGGGAATCCTACGACTGTCAGCTAAGGAGGTGGCAGATGGGAGGGAATCCTAACTGGGATGGAACGGTGAGGAACTGTGTTGCAGTGGGGAACCAGATGCCCATCCCGAGAGATGGCTGGACTGCGGGAGCCTTGAGGCTTGGAAGGGACAGTGTTTTGCTCAGACGTCTGGTCTCTCTCCCTCCTCCTCCCGTTCACCCCCATCAGTTCACTGTAAATCAGTGGACGTATGTTTCACTTTACTTGAATTCAATACCTTGGAAATCCGTGAGAAATAATGCCTCCTGACAATGTAAAGTAGTGCCCTCATTTGTGCGCAAGCTAAGAGGAATAATTATTGTCTTGGGAAACTGTCAAGCTAAAGGATTTAGGAGAATGCCCTCCTGGCTGATCTCAGTAACTTGTTTTTCTTCATTTCTATTACCCCTCCCGGGGCCCCCTCTAACTCTGAGTTTTTTACCCCTTTCTGATGGCAAATACCAGTGGTGTTTTGAGGGTGAGATGGGGTGAATACAGCTGCTGATTCATGTTTCCCTTGTATTCCTCCCACCTCCTTAAACACACACCACTTAGAATGCTTAGCGTTTTTCCATGTGTGAAAGTTTCTCTGGCCCCCTTCTCCAGGATAGAGCAGCTCCCATGTGCGTCCAGCTTCGAGTCAGTCTGTCAGGTGCTCATCTCACTGAATTTGATGGTATGCTCATCCGACACCAGCCTGTATGAACGTAGAGATTTTGTTTTAACTCACTATTAAATCTGACCCACCACCACAGTGTCTGGGTCACAGAGGCCTACTAAAGAGTTGTTGAGTGAATACATATACGAGTGTGAAGGAACAAATAATAAAACAAAGGAAGTTATCACTTCACTTTAGCTTGCCTGAAATTACTCAGTATCTCTTACCTCTAGCTTTTGACTGCTGAGAATTGTTAAAGACCTTGTCTAGGGTGTTATGATTCTCTTAAGTAGCAAGCAAAAATGTAATTTTATGAAGATTTAATGAGACAGTATCATTGCCAGCTGATTTTATCACTCAGGGAATTTAATAGAAAATTTGTTAACATTGTCTTTAATTTCTTTAAATATTTATGAACATTGCTTTCGAGAGGATTCTTATCTGGGGTTATTGTTTTATAGAATTCATTTTGGTGTGGTTTCAACCATTTGGTGGTTCATCTTGTTTTAATAGATGCTGCTAGAGTTCTCTGTAAGTGCTTTGGAATCTGAGTGGGAGTCTCTTTGGATCTCGTTTCTGCTTGCTGCACCTTCCAGGGCCCCAGATTAGATCAAAGTGTCTGCCACAAGAATCTTGGAACATTCAGGACATGAGTCCAGATCACAGCTCATCATCTTCTGATATGGAATCTAGATAATCTGTGTCAACATATAGGAGAAATCCAGAGAACAAGCTGTCTGCCCAACCTGGGTCTGAGAAGAGGCCATTCTGGTCAGTGAAGAAGATCTCCAGCCAGACTTCATCTTCTGGCTGCAGATAGATGACCGTGGACCCCGAAGCCACGTCATGGTTCCCTGTGTTGGCGTCGAAGGTCTTTATCCGGTACTGCCCATTGTGGACCAGCCCGATTGCCAGATGCTTATTTGCCAATGTGATATCATAAGAAAAGTAATAGATCCCTGGGAAGGCACAGATGAACTTCCCTGTCGCAGGGTTGTAATGCTCTCCCTCATTGAAGAGGACCTTGTTAAATATAATCGGTAGCCTTTCTTCTGGGTAGCTGGTCGTGATGCCAACAGAAAAGGCAGATTTGAGTACAATGCTTCCACATCTACAAACTCCGGGCAGCCCTGGGTCCCCTTGCTCTCCTCTGTCCCCCTTTGCTCCGGGAGGCCCAACTGGACCGACTTCTCCTTTTTCTCCCTCTGGTCCCATGGGTCCTTTCTTCCCAGTCTCTCCTTGGTCCCCTTTCTCTCCAGCAAGGCCCAGGGGTCCAGTCTTACCTCTCAAACCTTTAAAAAGAGTTTACAGTTTAATTAATGGTTCCTCCAAATATACAGTCACAAATAGCATGCCCCACATAGTGCCAGCACACCCTAAATGTGTTTCTCCAATCAACTTTCAACAGTACACTACTAAATACTAATGCATCTTTAAAAAAAAAATCACTGATGCATTAAAACAGAAATATAAAATTTTCATCAGAATTTCAGGTTAGTTTTCCTGAGCACATGAGAAATCATTTAAATGCTGTTTTGATGATGGATCATTTGCAACAAAATCAGTCACATACAGTATTTGTCACTACAGGAGAAATTCAATGAGCATAATGATATTATTCCCCAGAGTGAGGTCATGGGGGCAGACAGAACCAGATGAATCCTTAGAGGCTATTTTGTCTTATGCCCCCTCCTACTTCTATCGGTATTAATAATACAAGGATTAATGAAAATTAGATTAGCTTGTATTTATTCAACATTTACTATGTACCAGGGATAGCACTTTATTCACAGGCATTGTCTTCTTTAGGTCTTGAAACAACTTTATGGATTAGGAAATTGTTATTGTTTTCATTGCAGATGGGGAGAATGAGTGGCAGAGAAGTTAGTTTGCTCAAGAAAATAGCTAGTAAGTGACGGAGCTGTGACCTGAACTCATGCCTGCCTGACTCTGGAGACTGAGCATCCCTCTGGGTCAGGGGCTAGAGTGTACCTTGTAAAGTGCACCTGGCACATAGTGAGGGCCCAATATGCTACAATAACCAAACAACAGTGATGGCCACCACTATGTCGTAGTTCTTTTTTGGAGGACAAAAACAGTCCCAGAAAGGTGAAGAAACTCGCTTCTGAAGCAAGGCTAGGACTGGAATCTAGTGTAATGATGCTTCCCCTTCATCAAAGTGCCTCTTACCTGTGGGGCTGGAATCAAGAATCCTAAATTCTGTTTGGCTCTGCAGCTAAATGGTTGTATCATTTTAGGCAAGTCCCTTAATTTCTCTGGGTCTCCTTATATATAGAAAAGACATAATATCTGTGAAAGGATTTCAACAAATTCAAAATCACCACAGTGAAATATTTTTTGTTTGTCCAAATCTTTATAACTACAGATCAACCATAGGCTAAATGAAGAGAAATTGTGATCATTGGTTGAAAGGGATAAGCAACATTTATTTAATTTTTAAACCATATATATATATATATATATATATATATATATATAATAACAAAGCATGAAAATGTCATTTAATTTTTATGGTTAAATCCATTCCATAAATAATGTTTGTATAATGATATATCCTCAAAAAATATCCAAATTATTGGAAATTTGTGATGTACTTTTGTAGTCAGGGAAAATATATTACTGATATACTGTGTAGTTTCACTCTTAACTATGTATTTGTTCTCAGGAATTTTATTAAGCTAAGCCTTTTTATCTTGATAGTGCTCAAATAAAAGAAAATATTCTTTTATTTGAATATTACATGTATATCAGTGTATGAGCTTAATTATTTTTCAGTGATTTGGCAAATGTAGGAATGAAATGTTCTGGATAATGTAAATTTGAGGAGAATTAATGCTTTACCCTTAAAACATACAGAATTTTGCTTTAATAATTCCGGAAAGAGGCTGTTTAACAATTTGTGATGCACAGAAGATTCTAATAATGAATGAAACCTTTTTTTTGTGTGTGATGGGATCAGTGTTATTACTGATCACAGAACTGTCCTCAAGCTCTAGGTGGCTTTTGTTGTGAAGTTGAAATTCCACTGGTCCCAGCCAGAATATACTCTGGTATATTTCTTGAAATAAGGCCATAATAGTCTGATCTTTTGCTTCTTTTTGGTAGAAATAAAATATGAATACTATTTTACTGTTGAATGTACTTGTGAATCGAGGACCACAACTTCTAAATTGTTATTTTTATTTTCAATAGGAGCTTAACTTTTGCTGTCTCCACGAGTGATTTTGACATATTAATAAAAAAACTTTTTGACATCAGCAACAATTTCAACTATTAAATTTCTTTATGTACTCCAGTCCTCCTGCCTCTATGACTTTTGGCAGGTCACTTCTTGTCTGTGTTTCAAATACTCCACTTGTAATATGAAGAATTGGATTTAAGTCCAATCTCAGCATTTGGATTTTCTATGGTTATTGAATTAGATAATCAAGGATTAACTATAATTTGAAGTAATTCTTCCTGTTTGCATGAAGGATTTACACCTGTGATAAGGGACAATTAATGAATAATGGAAAGAAGGGATACATCACTCTCCCTCTTCCTATTCAGTTAGACATATGCTCGGGTAGAGAGGAGAATTATGGAATAGTGGTTAGTCTACACTTAGGTGCTGACTAAGGATTTCTTCTTAGTTCTCTAGGAAATGGGCTTACAAAGATTTCTTCTTCAATGTTATTTCTTTCTCCCATCTATCCATCCATCCATCCATCCATCCATCCATGGATTTATGTGTGCATGCATACCTATATCTAAATCATGTAATATTGATTGACCCATAGTGCCTGACTAAATGCCAGGCACTATGCTATGGGCTGAGTGGGACCTTGACATGAATGACACCTGTTCCACCCTCAAGCTAGCTGTTACTATGTATTACACTGTGATCTGCAAATATAGGTCATAGCTAAGTTCGTGACTATCTAAAGCCATATGATAAACTAGAATGATCTGTTTCATGAGGTGGTTCTAGTGTTATTTGAAGATATCTATAGGGTTGTGCATTCAGATTAAGTTAAATGGTGAGATTATGCTACAAGAGTAATTGCTACAGACCAGTGAGGGAAGCAGATATTTTTAACAGAAAATTTCTAATTTGGTATAACAAGTTCTGTACTTGTAATTTAAAGTAGAGAAGTTGGACAAAACTATGCTTGATTCTGTTTGCACTTGGTTGGATGCATGTAATTGGCATGTTTACCAAGGTACATGAATGAGAAAACATATGTGGTGTCATTCAAGGGGACAGAAGAATCAAAGGCTACCACCCATGTTGTGTCCAGTTCCAGCTGCATTGAAAGCTTGTCCCTAAAGCTGCAGAGCTCCGTTACTGTTGTCTGTAAATGGGATGTATTTTTCTTCATTGATCACAAAGGCATTCCTACCTTTCTTGGCTGTTACAGATCCTTATATGTGTATTTGTGTATATCGGATTTAAGTCATCTCAGGTTGGGGAGTCATTTTATTTTTTAATTTAAATATTTTCACTGTAACATTATTGTTGATTATAAAGACTTCTAACAGGGTTATGGTAGACATTAAGTACTAAATGTAAAATTCCTGACACAGTTCTTAACAAATGGCTATGATGATGATGATGATGAATATTATATGTTTCTATATTGGCCTCCCACACCCCCATGTTTGTTTATCAAGGCAAGGACAATGTCTTATCCATGTTTGTGTTCTCGTTGTCTAGAACAGTAAAATCAACCATGGACAATTTTACACTGCCAACCAAGGGATGTTTGGCAAAGTCTGGGGACATTTTTGTTGTCTTTGGTGGTGGGGATGCCGCTGGCATCTAGTGGGACGCTGTTAAGTGTCCTACAATGCACAGGATAGCCATCCCACATAACTAATTATTTGACCCCAAATGTCATTAGGGTGGAGGTTGAGAAACACTGGTGTAGAATAATACCAGATAGCAATATGTACACAAGAAGCTTGTTGAAGAATAATGCATGGGTGGATAGACGAATATGGGGCTGTAGCCAGCCTCTTATGGTTAAAACTGTAGCAATTATGAACATTCAATTTAATCTGAATGCATAGCCGCATACCTATTTTTAAATGACACTAGAACTACCTCATGAAACCCATCACTCATTTCTAGTTTATTATATGACTTTGGATATTCAGGAACTTAGCTATGACTCATGTTTGCAGAGCACTGTGTGGTATGTAATGACAGCTAACATTTCCTGAGTGCTTACCACATGTCAGCTTTTCTACCAAGTGTTTTGCATGTATTATTGTGCCTAATCATCACAATCAGCCTTACTACTTCCAATTTACAAATGAGGGAACTGAGGCTAAAAGCGGCTATTTGCCCAAGGATACTAAGTTAGTAATTGAAGGAGCCAAGATTTGAGCCTAAATCCTACGGACTCCATTGCCTTCTTGGGTAAGCACTACATTATTGCTTCCAGACACAGTAAACTAAAAATGTTCGTCATATGTAACTCTGATCCTGGTGTTCTTACAGGATTTCAAGGCTATTCATGATCATGACACAGCAGTAAGTTATATTCATAAGTGTTACAATAGATAAGATGCTGAACCTTTACCTAAAGGTTTTTTTTATCTAATATTGAACAATATTCATACACATTTGGTAGCTACCGATTTTCCAACTATTTTCTGCATGACAAATTCAGAAATGAATTATCATCCGGTAAATTGCATATATATTGTGCTACTGTTTCACGTAACACCAGTAAATGAGGTGCAATGACTAGACAGAGACTTATTTCTTAGAATGGATTAACTTTTCTCTTCCTATCTTTTGTCCAAGGCTTTACACTCAGAAACTTGTTTTCAAAGATTGATGCCAAATCACTTCCTCTTTTAGAATTAACCCGGCTTCTCTAGAATTTCAATGTGGTTTACTCTGGAGGATTGCAGGGTCTGGCAATCTTCCTGGCCCAACCTATTTGTGGAGAAAAAAGTAAAAATTACTGAAGTGGTAGAGGGCAATTGTGTTGCCGTAAAGAGCTATAAGAGTCTACTTTTTATAGCTGTTACAGGACTGGTGGGAAAGAGATGAGCCAGGAAAGGTGGGCTATACAGTACTATTGTCATTTCATCTCTGAAAAGTAAAATCTAGAAGTCTTTTATGTAACTTTGCTCTGGATATTAGCGCAGAGCAGGATGGCACCTGTGCTTTTGGTTCCTGATTCCTGCCTCTGCTTCGTCTGTCCATTTCCCTTCCTTGTCCATCTGTCTGCTCTCCATCCATGCCCTTGCACATCCAGACATTGCCTGCTAGTTGTGATTGCCCTGTGGTCTTGGGCATCAATGTTTGAATCCAGCTCAGCAGTGAACTTCCCTCTTCAGTAATTAATTTTACCATGTTATTGCTTTGTGTTCTCATCTGTAAAATGGGATCACTGAAAGAATTGTCATTACAATAAAATAAGGTTGCAGGTAAAGAGTTTCTCGAGCAGTATCTAAGGCATAGTGAGGGCTCAGTATTAATTACGATTAAGGAAAGTGAAGTAGAGAAGGGATTCCAGGAGCAATTCTCATTAGAAAAGGCAACAAAGAACGGAAACAATTTAAGGTGGGGGTGAACCAGAGGTGTTTATTTATTCATTTATTTTTAAAGATGTATTTATTTATTTGAGAGAGAGAGAGAGAGAGACAGAGCGAGCATGAGCGGGGGGAGGGGCAGAGGGAGAGGAGAGAGAGAGAGAGAGAATCCCAAGCAGACTCCCCACTGAGCACAGAGGAGCAGAGTTTAGGGAACTTCATTGTTCATTACCTGCAGCCCCCTTTTCACCTTTCTCTCCTTTCCTGCCGTCTCTACCATCTCGTCCTGGAAGGCCGATCCGACCATGGGGCCCCGGGGAACCATTTGCTCCAGGGGGTCCTGGAGGTCCCGGTAAGCCAGGGATGCTACAGATATATCTTGGGGAGTAGCTCTCTCCTTTGAACTGATTACCCCGAGGCTGTCCACTGGCACAAATGGCAAAACTTGTAACATAGAGCAAGACAAACATCTTTGGCTCTGGAAGAGAAACACAGGGACATAAGGGCACCCTTGGTGGGAGTTTTGGCATAAATGAACACGAGAATGGGCATCTGCAGTCACTCACTCCAGTGCTCACCCCCCCACGCATGCATAAAACCCCAGCTTACTCTCATAATTCCCTTGGAAACTATTAACACATTACTACTTATAGAGAGTTCTCAGTACCCCACAGAAGGGTTGGTGGAGATGAAGGATTGATTTAAACGATTTCAAAATGAAGCCACTTGTTGCATTTTTTTTTTTTCCTGTAGGGTCAATGACGGATTTTGAAAAATAATGCATTATTTTTAGAAAATTAGAAATGCTTATGAATAAGATAAACATTAACATTATTCTCACCACTAGAGATAATTATAATTTACATTTTGATACACACATCCTTCTGGTCTTTCTATGCTGTGGAGGAAAGAGATATTATGCCACTCTTGTATTTTTTCAACTTTTTTCACTTAACAGTATATCATGAGCATCTTCTCATGTCAAAAATTATTCATAACATTAAAAAAAGTTGCATTTTTCTCCATTATCCTTTATGTACATGATTCTCCATTGTAGATATTTCCTTCCAGTTTTCTGCCAGTATAAACACTATGCTAGACATTGGTATATCTAGTCTTTGCGTGCATCCATGATCGTTCCCTTAGAATTTATGGGCTTCCTAAGGCTGGAGAAAAGAAGAGGCATTCTCAGGAAAACCATGTTTTTCACTTGATAATCATGTGTAAAACCAATTAGTGTTAATTGGAGTACTGTGTATGTCCTGCAGGGGGGTCTCAAACTTTAATTTAAAATCTGCAGGATACAATGCCCTGGTGAACCATTAAGCAGTGAGCGCCAAGGCTCAGTTAAAGAGCTGAGTGAAATTAAACCATGCATGGTGTCACGTGCTTCTAGGGAAGCAGACAACAGGTCTCTTCAGCTATGATTTAATAGGACTTGGTTTTTCTCCCTCCACAAATAGGATCCTGAGAATGACGGATCATTTATTAGCATGACATTTGGTATATAAGCTAAGGGGTGGGTAGCATAGGCTGGGACACTTGATTTTCTAGGCTAAATGGTCCTTAGGATTAGCAGCTCCTTGGATGGGACAGTGTATACACATGGTTTTAGGGCAGTGTGAATTAATACTTTTTGGTTGGCTGAACTTGTGCTTTAATAAGAAATCTCAACAACGCTTGATGTATATGCCTGGCATGTACTTGCCCAAAGGAAATTATCATAAAATGTGAAAAAAAATCAGATGGAGTTTCCTTGCTTTTTGACAGCCACATCAGAAAATTAACCAGGCACACTGTACCAGTTTTATGATACCCACGAGGAGATTGCAACATCTTGGAATTAGTTCTAGAAATTTGCCAGAGCATAGGAATGACAAACTGAGAAAAGCACAGTGTGCACATGTGGTTCAAAATAAATCTGATTCCTAGAAATCTTATTAGTGAAAAACTGAGGCAACTTGCCCAAATATAGGCTCTGTATCCTTGACCAAATCTCCATGTCACAAGTGTCTCTCCCTGCACGTTCCCCCCGCCTCAACTCCAGGAGAACATTTTTGCTGTGTACTGTCTGCTCTAACATAGCACAAACTCAAAATTACTGATCCCATTGTTCAACTGGGATTAAGGCACTTTCTGAGACGCCCAGAGGATCTCATAAAGATACCAGCCCTTTCAAGGGTGTTCCAGATGAAAAAAAAGTAAAGAACATTCTATCCATACCCCTGCCACAGTTAAAACAAACTACAGTGATTAAATTGCTAGCTTTTTCTTGTAAAAAACTGATTAAGGGAGGTTTTGAGAAGGAATTTGAAAGAGAAGAACATGCTCATAGGAGATACTCATAAAAAGAGACAAGGAATGTGATCCTGTAGCCAAGGTCAGGATTTGGTTCTACAAGGGACTTGAAATTATGTGGAGAGGAGGCACTTTGGGCAGTGGCATCTCAGACACTGGTGGATGCTGAAAACACAAACATGCCCATAGTCAGGGATCAGTCTATAAAGAAGCCTGTGGTAAGGTCCAGGTTATGGTGGGTAGAAGAAGCAGAAATTTTAAAGATGTGCTTGGAAGGATGTTAATATTTCCAATAGCCAGGCAAAAATGTGCTCAAAGAGGGTAAAAATGAACACAACTGAAACAGATGCATTCATTGAACAAATGGTTTGCCTTTCATTGACAAATGCATTAGAATATTGTCTGTGCTGTAGTCTAAATGCTGGAAGCATCCCCAGTTAGTTTTTTTTTTTTTTTTAGATAGGGAGGGGACAAGAGGAGGGGCAGAGGGGGGAGCGACAATCTTAAGCAGGCTCTACGCTCAGAGTAGGGCTCCATCTCACACCCCTGAGATCAGGTCCCCAGCCCAAATCAAGAGTTGGATGCATAACTGACTGAGCCCCCCAGGCACCCTCCCCTCCCCACCCCCCCTCCCACCCAGTTAGAATTTTTGAAAGGCACTCAAAATGATTATCCATTAACCATCCTCGTCGGAACACCAACATGATGTGGTGCCTGATGCGACGACAGCATGGTGGTAAGTGGCCACTCGAGTCTTGGGACTCAATTTACTAGGATAACAAAGGGCTGCAGGGTATAACGGAAAACTACAGTGGCATCACCCTGTAATGGTTCTTCATTTTACTTAAAAGTCAAAAGCCTTATGGTACATGGTCTTCAAGACTCTCCTTGATTGGACACCCAACCTCCTTACTTCTCTGACTTCATCTTCCTCTTCTCTCCATCCCACTCTCCAGCTCCAGTCGCTTCGAGAAACACCAAGGAATTCAGAGTGACTGAATTCAGATGAGAGAGTGAGACATGTTCTGCCTTAAGGCATTCATACTGTCTCTTCCCTCTGTCTAGAACTCTCTGCCCCAACGTGTCGACATGTCTCACTCTCTCATCTTCCTGTGTGAGTCTGCTCAAATACCACCCTCTCCCTGACGCCAGTTCTTACACTCTATTTAACATTGCAATTGCCTTTCATACCTCCTGACTGCTCCCCCATTCTGCTGTACTGTTTTCTCTTCTTCCTTGTACTCACCACCTCTAACTTATTAGATTATTATTACCTTTATTGTGTTTTAAAAATACTGTATATCTCCATCTGCTGGGATGTAATCTCCATGAGGGTCAGAGACTTTGTCTTAGTCATTGACTTCTACAATCATCTAGAATAGTGTTTGGCACAAAAAGGTTGTGGACAAGGAAGGAGATTTTTTGGGGGGCAGTTCTGAGTTTTGTGAAAAACAAGATGAAGAACCAGAGAGAATGGACTATGAGACTATTACAAGGGAAAGAGAAAAGAGAGACTTAAAGAAATATTCTGGAGTTTTGTGGGTCCCTTTCACCGTGTTTGAAAAATACAAACAAAAGACTTGAGTTGTTTTAATTTTGCATAGTCTAGAGTATTTAGAAGTATTTTAAGTATTTACTTTTTTTGGTATAGATAGAACATGCACATTTATAAAATTAAAAAAAGTGTATGCAATGAAGGTAAATCTCTTCTCCCTCCTTCCAGTCTTCCAGACATGCAGTTTCCCTCTCTGGAGGCAATCACTGTTGCTAGTTTATTATGTGTCCTTCTTCCCCATGTTCGCACAATATATGCAACTTTCTGTACCTAGCCTTTTCAGGTAGCTAAGAGATTTTCTCTTATCAGTATATAAGTGTATATATATATATATATACACATACTGTACATAGTTTATGACATGAGCAGCAAATAGCTTTTCCCAGTTTGCCTTTTCATTTTGTTCAAAGCATTTAAAAATATTTTTATCATGAAAACATTCCTGGGACACCTGGGTGGCTTAGTCGGTTAAGCATCTGCCTTTGGCTCAGGTCATGACCTGGGTTCCTGGGACTGAGCTCCATGTCAAGGGGGGGGGGGGGGGGGGGGGGTCCCTGCTCAGCAGGGAGTCTGCTTCTTCCTTTCCCTCTTCCTCTGTCCTTCCCTCCCAACTTAGACTCTCTCTTTCTCTCGTGTTCTCTCTCTCATGCTCTTGCTCTCAAATAAATAAATAAAATATTAAAAAAACCCAACATTCTTGAAGTTCAATTTATTGTTTTTAAAAGGCCTTCCTCACTTAAAGATAAAAAGATTTTTCCCACTTTCAGTTCTTTTGTTGTTTCATTTGTTCACATTTAATATTTGACCCATTAGAATGTTTTTCTTTTTTTTTTTTTAAAGATTTTTATTTATTTATTTAACAGAGAGACAGAGAGAGAGAGAGCACAGGTAGGCAGAGCGGCAGACAGAGGGAGAGGGAGAAGGAGGCTCTCCGCCAAGCAGGGAGCCCGATGCGGGGCTCGATCCCAGGACCCTGGGATCATGACCTCAGCCGAAGGCAGCCGTTTAACTGACTGAGCCACCCAGGCGCCCCCCCCCCTTTTTTTTCAGTTGAAGATTTATTTATTTATTTGAGAGCGAGAAGGGGAGGGAGAGAGAGAGAGAGAAAAAGGGATGAAGGGGCAGAGGGAGAGAGAGAGAGAGAGAGAGAATCTTAAGCAGACTCTGCACTGAGGGTGGAGCCCCATGCAGGGCTCAGTCTCACCACCCTGAGATCATGACCTGAGCTGAAACCAAGAGTTGGACACTTAACTCTGCCACCCAGGTGCCCCTAGAATGTTTCTGATAACAAGTGTGAGATAGGGATCCAACTGTATATTTTCAATACCTTATATTGAATAATCCATCCTTCACCCATTTTCCCACTGGTTTGCAGTGAACTTGGGTATTTTGGCTGGGACCGAACTATGTGGGTCATGGCTTTATAAACATTACAATATCTTTGAGAAAATCTCTTTACTGAGATTTAATTTACACACCATAAATTTGGCCAGTTTGAAGTATACAACTCAACATACACTATAATCCAATTTTAAATCATTTTCAAAACTACAAAAAGAAACCTCATACACATTTGCAGTCACTCTTCATACAAAATATTTTGAAGGATTGCACTGAATATGCAAATTTATG